TCAAGTAAAGTGTAATATCAACGCGAAAATCAGAGACTTTCGGAAATTAAATACAGTGTAACGTAAACACATTACAAACGGTCGATCGAGCCACGCACAACGAACGTGTGTTATGAGAATTCTTGGAGCAACGTTATAAGACGAAGAATGCAAATAGTAATAACTATTACTATACGGTACCCCAACGTATGCGCGGAAAGTGGCCATAGGGTTGCAAGAGGACAAGTGTAAAAACAAATATCCTGCGATAGTAAGGACGTTGATTAATGAGTGATTCAGAAGAAAACGTTAAAGACAAAAGTGAAAAATCGGTAGCGCAGTTAACACTCGGAAAGACGCACCATCTACTGAAACACGAATTAATTAAAGAATTGACAAAACGCGGAATCAAATGTGATCCCGCGGATAAGCGCGACGTGCTAAGGGAGAAATTTATCGAAATACTAAGAAAAGAAATTGAAGGCGAGAAGGCTACTACCGTAAATAGTGAAAAAGATAGCGCGACGGACAATTCAGGAGATTCAGACGACGACGATATGGCAGGGAAGTCAAAAATTGAGTTCAAGTTGAACACCGATAATTGGGAGGCATTCACGGAAAGATTCGATTTGCACTTCATGTTGAAGAAGACGGAGGAAGACGCTATGAAAGTAGCAACACCTTTGACAAGTATTGATGAAGAGACTTACATACTGTTCCAATTTGTGTGCACCAAACAAGCCTGCAACGAAAAAATATGCAGAACTAATTAAGATGCTATCACATCAACCCAAAACCCTCAATGGTGATGGAACGTTGCAAAATCAACAAAGCAAGGCAAAGCGAGAATGAGTCGATAGCCGAATTTGCGGCAAAATTAAGAAAATTGGCACTTCACTGCGATTTCGAAAAATTCGATGACACCCTGCGCGACCAGTTCGTCTGCGGAGTCCACGACAAGAACACAAGAATCAAATTATTCAAGGTAACAAACTTGACATTCGACAATATTTTAAAGGAAGCTCTCGCACGTGAAAGCGCCGTGAAGAACGCAGCAGGTGCTGAGAAAACACTGACAAAAGTTGGCGAGAAAGAGGAGGTATTTGCAATAGGATACAACTCTAAACACAAGACCAAAGAGACATGGCACGATAGAGAGTCAAACGGAAGAAAATGCTACTGCTGTGATAAGTCCGGACATTTGGCGAGCAGTTGTAGATACCGAGGTGCGATCTGCCATAGCTGCAGGAAAAAGGGGCACGTACAAAGAGCGTGTAGATCAAGCAAAGAGAGGACGTCAAACAAGTTCCTGAGTAAGAACGCCGATTAGGACGCCGAGGACAGCGAAACAACCAACAATTACGTAGACTTTTACTCGATCAAAGCGAAGATAGATAATGCGAATGTTCACTGTAATTTAATTAAAGCCGATCCGCAATTTTTAAACGTCGAGATTAACGGTAAAATAATTTCAATAGAAATAGATACAGATACGTATTTTACAGTAATATCTGAAAAATGTAAATGTAAATAGAAAATGTAAATAGACAAATATTTCAAAACGTGTAAAATAGAGAAGGCATACACAAACTTAGTGAACTATGAACAGAGCCCGATGAAGCCGCTAGGCCAAATTAAAAATCTGAAGGTTAAATTAAAGGAAAAAAGCAGGAAACTTGATTGTTTCGTGTTCAGTGGTAGTGGCGCCCCACTAATCGGAAGACAGTGGCTGGCGGAGTTCGGACTTTGGCCGTTGGATTTCACGGATACTGCTGTAAAAAATAGTAAAAACGCCTTGCTAAAACTCGATGTAGAAACCGTAAGAAAAAAAATATTAACGGAATTCAAGGAACTATTCGGAAGTACACCCGGGTCATATAATAGGAAAGAAATTCAATTGCATTTAAAAAAGGACACAAAACCGATAGCACTACGACCTAGACATGTATCTTTTGCACTAAAAACGAAAATTGAAATCGAGCGGTTAGTTTCGCTAGGTCACTTGGAGCGCGTAGAGGAGAGCGAATGGGCCACATCAATAGTCCCGGTTTTAAAATCGAACGGCGAGGTAAGAATTTGTGGTGATTTCAAGGTAACACTCAATCAACACATTGAATGGGCTAAGCGTCCATTCCCAAAAATTGAAGATATTTTTAATGTACTACATAAAGATTTGACATATACTCAACTCGACCTCCCACACGCGTACATGCAAATTCCGGTAAATAGAGAATCACGGAACTTACTGACGGTTACGACTCATGTAGGACTGTTTAGGTATACGAAAATGTCTGAAGGTACGGCACCAGCACCGGGTGAATTCCAACAGATTATGGACGAGTGCTTACAAGGAATTCCAAATACGATCGCGTATATCGATAACATTTTTGTAACGGGACCTACAAATGAAGAGTATATAGAAAACCTGCGCATGGTTTGCAAACGACTAGAAGAACGCGGTTTACGTCTGAATAAAAATAAATGTGACTTTTTCAAAAATCGTATAAAAGTACTAGGGTTTGTGATTGACGGGGAAGGCTTACACAAGTGTCGTATAGAGCTCTAAAAGGGTCGTGCACGACGATGCGATGCGAAAGACGGGTTCGGACAACAACAATTATATCCGCACGTGCGTAAACGTATGCCTGTGTCTTGGAGGTCGGCGCGACACGGCGGCGCCGCGGTATCGATCAAGGGACTTCCGGCTCTTTCGATTTTGGGTCCGTGTGCAAACAAGAAGGATCGTCGCTTACGTAATCACGACGGTCACGTTACCGAAAGGGGACCAATCGGAAACGGGTTGACGAGTAGTGGAAATCCACGGTTGTCGGAAAAAATACTCACTTCGTTCTGGATCGTTAGACTGTTCACGTCGAGCGCTCTCAAATCGATATATATGTAGTCGTTGGCTTCCAAGACACAAGTGCGCGTTTCAAGTCGCGACCCAAGGCATCACGCTTTGAGGCGTTGTCGCGATTCATACCGACTTGTTAAGAGGCGTAACCTCTGCAAATTAAAGCATTCGCGACTCAGGGCATCACAGTCCCCAGGCGTCGTCGCGAGTGAAACAAAGCGTTCGCGACTCAGGGCATCACAGCCCCCAGGCGTTGTCGCGAGTGCGAAATCTCGATAGACAAGTGTTCGCGACTCAGGGCATCACGGCCCCTAAGCGCGTCGCGTGAAAAGGCGGATTGTATGCGTCAAACGAACTATACGAACTATACGATAGACGTTGCTCGCGCAGTGTACGTGACGCGAACTTAATAAACATTTTCAATAAACTCATACACGAAACTACAGTGAGGATTCAAGTTGCTTCCTCCCTGACCTACAAGACAACAAGGTTAAATCTAAGGTAAAGGTGATGACCGAAGCTCCACGGCCAGAAACCAGCAAACAGCTTATCTCATTCCTCGGCCTTATTAATTTTTATGCAAGATTTTTAAAACACCGGGCCGACAAATTGAGGCCACTTTTTGATTGTGCCAATAAAGAGAAATTCGAATGGAACGAGGAATGTGAACAGGCATTTCGCTGGGTGAAAAACGAGATGATCTCACCAAAGGTATTAGCGCACTATGATCCAAATGAACAAATAATATTAGCATACGACGCATTAGATTACGGGTTGTCAGCGATACTCGCACAGATACAAAAATGGTTCGGAACAATCTATTGCATTTGCATCAAAGCTTATCCCAAAGAAAGAGAGAAGTCGTGCAATCATAGACAAGGAAGCGAGCGCCATTGTTTTTGGGTTCATGAAATTCTATAATTTTGTATACGGCCAAGATATAATACTGCGTACAGATCATAAGCCATTAGAAATAATATTTGGGCCAAAACGAGGCATACCGCTAACGGCAGCGTCCCGGTTGCAGCGGTGGGCATTAAGATAAATGTACCAATTCCTGAACAGTTAAAGAAAATAATAATGTATAATTTATTTAAAATTATAAAATAAGCACATTTTTCAAAGATTTTATAATTATTTTAAAATACAAGCTTTTTATTTTTTAAATGATCGTAAAAATTAATTTTACTTCTTTAAAATGAAATAATTAAATATAAAATATAAACGTTCATATGATCCATTTCCTAAACGACATGGAAGCCATGTTCCTAAAACTGAACATAGTTGTACTAATTTCGGAATATAATTTATATAATATTTTTAGAATTGATGTAAACGTAAGAAAAGTGTGTAAATTTGAAAAATATACAAAATTATTTTAATATACAATTTTTTCCAATATACAAAAATATATAATATAAAATAAGTAATATGAGAATGCTACTTAATATTAATACTACTTAATATTGCTGTTTTAATATGATGATATATATTTTAAAACATTCTAATATTATTAATAATAAAATAAAATAAATGTATAACATGGGAATTTTATGGGAAATTTAAAAAAAAAATATAATTAAAAATAATTACATATATTATTTAAAAATATACATAAGTAGTTCTGTTTTTTTTATTCTAGTAAATACTTGTATGTATAGTTATATAGAGTTTTACAATATTACTTATAAAATAAAATTTAAATTTAAAAAAATAATATTTTGAATTGCACATTATTTTATAGATTATTAAAGAATTCTAAAAAAATAATATGAAATTGCAGTCTTATACCATCATAAATAAAATACATATTATACATAACAAAATAAGAAAATTATTTCGTTTTTCATTGATTTTATAGCTTGATCCATGTCATTCTGTGTATAACGTTCCGTTCTTTTCGACATTTTGAAATCAATTCTATTAAAAAAAACATAATTTGACAAATTATATCTTACTAAAATTACTATTTACAAAGAAAATATGTGCCGATATATAAATGCATATGTAAAGTATGGTTAGAAGTATAGGTTAAGAATACAGTTTTCAATGAATATATAAAAATAATAAGTTTTCAATAAAAAAACCATATTATTCTAAATAAATAAATGCTATAAAAATTATATAAAATAACAATATAATAAATATAAACGTAATAATAACTCACAATTTATCAGTTTTACCACTGTAAACACTCTCTCTTACACACTCTCTGTCACATTCAGTAATACGCACATCAACTCGAAGTGATATGTATCGATAGCGGAACGAGCGTTCAGTTCTCGAATGCATACCAATCGCATGTATCTATTACTGAACACCCTAATATTTAATGAAAAATGAACTTTTCTATTAATTCTTTTAATAGATCTTATTTATTAGATATTTCTGATATTTAAAATGTACTTTATATCTTAATTATACAATAAATTAAACGTAAGTTCGCTTAAGATGTATACAATGTTTCTAAGCAAAATGGTTAAGAATCCAATTAGAAATGACATTTTATGTTTTTAGAAAAAGAAAATTATTTTTATAAAATGCAAATAATATTTCTCGTACATGTTTTTTCCATTAAAATCTAGACACTTTAATTTATTTAATATGTACAGATTTTTTAAATTCTGAATCATGAGAAGCTTAATATTAATAAAAATATGTGTCTTTGTTCAGGAATTGGTCTCGTTCAGCAAATGGTACATTTATCTTACTTATCGGGTTTCAAGTATAAGATTGAGACGGTAAAGTCTGAACAAAACGGAAACTGAACTATTTGGTTCAGATTTTACACCAATGTATTACGTTAGCGAAGGCATGGTTAGTTTGGACGCGGAAGTTGTGTCGAAAGAAACGAAGAAGGACGAATGTTTAAATAAAATAATGAAGTATTATCTGTTAGGATAGCCAAACGAGTATAAGAATTCGTCGATAGTTGAGCAAAATTTTTTTACTAAAAGGAATGAAATCACAATCAAAGGAGGTTGTGTTTTGGGGCAATCGAATAATAATACCTGCATCTCTACAGCCGTTGCTAATTGACGAATTCTCTGCGTCATACTTGGATATCGTGAAGATGAAGGCTTGGGCGAGATCGTACGTGTAGTGGCCAAATATTGATGCCGATCTTGAAAATGTAGCAAAAAGCTGTAAGATTTGCGTAGAAAATCAGAGAACGCCACCACACGCAACATTAACGCCATGGCCTTGGCCAGATAAAGCTTGGGATCGCATCCATATGGACTTCCTAGGCCCGTTTCATGGGACATGTACTTACAATTAGTAGTAGTGGATGCGCACTCAAAATGGCCGGAGGTGATTAATTTTAGAAAGAATACAAAGGCGAGTGCGTTAACAGACATATGCGAAAATCTGTTTGCGAGACACGGTCTGCCAAACCACGTAGTTACTGATAATGGTAGGCAATTTGCGTCGGGCGAATTTAAAGACTTCCTAAAAAGGCATGGCGTTAAGTAAAGTTTTTCTTCCCCGTACCATCCAGCCAGTAACGGAACCGCGGAAAATTTTGTGGGCACATTAAAAAATAAAGTATCAAAAATCGTTCAAGGGGGGAAAAGTGAGATGTGCGATAAATTGTTTCCTGTTTGATTACCGCAGCACGCCGCATTGTACAACAGGTAAAACGCCAGCGTGGCTGTTTTACGGGCGAGAACTGACGCGGTTTGATCGGTTAAGACCTAATTTGAAAAACAGAATATACGATAAACAACAGGCACAGACCACCGCGCGCCCGCATCCACAAAATGTAGTACTCAAGCCAGGTGACTCGGTCATGATCAACAATCATGGAACGACCGGCGGTAAACGTATCGAGGCCGAAATTATTAAAGCACGGTCACCGTCGACGTTCGAGGTCAGAGCCGAGACAGGAACAACAATGAAACGGCACACCGATCAAATTGTAAAATCGGTACGTCGCTCCGAGAGAATTCCGAATCGTAAGATGTAATGCCGAGCTCCATTTGAAACAGGGAGGAATTGTGATGTATATACAGTAGAACCTCTTTATAATCCACCTCGTTATAATCACAACCTCCAAATAGTCGACCTCCAAATAAGCACATTTCAAGCCCACGTGACGTTGTCTCCATGACAACCACTTGCGCAGTACGATGCGCAATCGTCGACTCAGACTCGTAACAATAATAGCCACGAGACAAGATCTAACGTGTTAGGAAGATAAGGAGATATCTGGATCTGATTTTTTTGATATATGCAAGTATTGTATAATGCATTTTATTTAATAAAATTATTGTTATATGTCAAAATTATTAATTATACATTAACTACCTTATGTAGTAAGTTATTATAACCTCATTAAATTTTATGTCATAATGACAAATTATTCATCATTTTATGATGATGAATTATATTTATCATTATGACAACAAAATATGTAATGCCAAATCACAGTAGCTTACTACTTAGATATAGTTAATATATTAATTATTTTGCATAATTTTTAGTATAAACATGAACCGAAAGTCGAGAAAGTGTATAACAATAAGCAAAAGATAATTGAGGTTGCTGCTTGCAATGAGATTGCTTCCGGTTCAAAAATTAATGATGTGGCAGAAAAATATGGTATCTCGCGAAGTTGTGTGTCAAAAATAAAAAACAAAAAGATCATATTGTTTCCTTTAGCAAATCCTTGCATAACGCACATTTAAAAAAAATTCGAAAGTTGAGATGTCCAATGCAATTTGATGCAGTTCTTTATTCATGGTTTTGCCAACAAAGATCATGGGGGCAACCAATTAGCGGACCGTTATTGTGTGAAAAAGCTCAGGAAATTAATGAAACATTACACGGACCTGCATCCTTCAAGGTAATTATTTTCCAGATAACACAGTTTACAAATATTTTATTTATATATATAAACATTAAAAATAAAAGATATCTATATTTAATAATTTTGTTTGCGGCAAAATTTATTGTTTTTAGGCTAGTAATGGTTGGTTGCAAAAATTCAAGCAAAGGCATGGTATACGTCAACTCTCTATACAAGGAGAAAAATTATCCTGTAATATTGAGGAAATTGAACATTTTCCTGAAAAATTCCAATCATTTATCACAGAACATGGATATACTTTGCAAAATATTTATAATGCCGATGAGACTGGACTATATTGGAGGACATTGCCTGGATCGACTCTAGCTGCAGGACATGAGTTATCTGTTGCCGGCTTTAAAGTCAGTAAAGAACGACTCACAGCAATGATGTGTGCAAATGCCAATGGGACACATAAATTACCGCTACTAATTATTGGTAAATATAAAAAACCACGATGTATGAAAAATATAACTAAACTGCCAGTAATTTATAAGGCCCAGAAAAATGCTTGGATGGACAGAACGTTATTTTTGGATTGGTAAGTTAATTCTAAAATATTTTTTTATATTACATAACAAAATTAGCAATCATCTATTAATGCTTCTTTTAATACTAACATTTTTATAATTCTCTAGGTATAATAATACTTTTATAAAATGGGTGCTCGAAAAGCAAATGGAAGAAGGCAGAAATGAAAAAGTTCTTTTGATATTAGATAATGCAGCATGTCACTCAAACGAAAATGAGTTGAATTCGGTTAACGAAAATTTTAAAGTTTTGTTTCTACCTCCCAATGTAACTGCCGTTTTACAACCAATGGATCAAGGAGTTATTGAACAAACTAAACGAATTTATAAAAAAAATGTGCTGCGCCTTCTGCTGAAAGAAAATTTACCACAAACAGTATTTCTAAAACTATGGACAATTCTTGATTGTTGTAACGTGATAGCTGAGGCATGGAATAATGTTTCATTTAATAATTTGAGAAGAGCTTGGAAAAATTTACTACCTATAGATAACGCAATAGATGTAACTTTGAATGATAATCGCGAATCCGAAAATTATTTTAATGAAATTTCAAGTGAAATTTATACACACAACGAGATTAATTCATGGATTAATATTGATGCTAGAGATCAGGGTTGGGAACCGCAAAATATCAATGACATTATTAATAATTTACATAATACCAATGAACATGAATCTGCGAATGAAGAGGAACCAGAAGATAATGCCACGCCAGACAAATTATCTAAAGATATTATTCAGGCTGTACATACTTTTAAAAATTGGTCACAACGCCAAAAAGAATGTACAATAACAGATTTTTATTCTATTACAAAATTGTTGTGTGTTGCTGAGAAGCTATTAAAGTAGGAATATTTTATATGCAAATTTAATATAAGCATAAAAATTATTTTAAA